AGAAGCACACGCGATTCAACGTGTTCAAGGCAAACGCGCGGTACGTGCACGGCTTCAACAAGGGAGACGAGCCGTACAAGCTTCGGCTCAACAAGTTTGCCGACATGACGGGACATGAGTTCCGGAGCATGTATGCAAATGCACGGGTGAGGCACCACCGCATGCTCCAGGGGAGCGTGCGGGGGAACACTACCTTCATGTACGAGGGCATGCAGAGTGTCCCGGCCTCGGTCGACTGGAGGGCGAAAGGGGCTGTTGTTGGGGTCAAAGATCAAGGAAAATGCGGTTCGATTATTCTCTGTCTCTCTTTTTTTTTTTCGTTTTTCTTCTATTTTTCTTGGTGATTTACCGGAAAATTATAATGTTGTTAGGGAGCTGTTGGGCGTTTTCGGCTGTGGCGGCCGTGGAAGGGATAAACCACATAAGGACGAACAAATTGGTGTCGCTATCGGAACAAGAACTCGTCGACTGCGACACCCAAAAGAACCAAGGTTGCAATGGAGGTCTAATGGACATAGCATTCAAGTTCATAAAAAGTAAGGGCGGTATCACGACCGAGGAAAACTACCCTTACATCGGCAAAGATGGAAAGTGTGATCTCGAGAAGGTGAATTACAAAACAAAGTTACGACATACGATAACTTATAAAGCAAAAAACAAATAAAAAAATAAATAACTAAATAAAAACTTCCTTTGGATTTGATAATCTTTGAGCTTTACTTTGTCTTGCACGTGTGGCACAGATGAAGTCTCCGGCAGTGACAATCGACGGCCATGAAGACGTGCCGGAAAATGACGAAGATGCACTGATGAAAGCAGTAGCCAATCAACCCGTGTCGGTTGCCATTGACGCGGGTGGTTATGGTTTCCAGTTCTATTCAGAGGTGAACCGTAAAATATGATCATATTTTATGGATCAAAATTTACTATTGTTGTCGTGTGATAGGTTGTGTTTTCTCTTAACAATTGTTTACATTTGATGATAAAAAAGAATTATAAACTAGATCTTCCTTTTCTTGTTGCAGGGGGTATTTACAGGGATTTGTGGAACAGAGCTAAACCATGGGGTGACGATTGTGGGTTACGGAACAACAGTTGACGGAACCAAATATTGGATCGTGAAAAACTCTTGGGGGCCCGAATGGGGCGAGAAGGGCTATATCAGGATGAAACGAGGGACTAGATATAAATACGGACTTTGCGGTATTGCCATGGAAGCATCTTATCCGATTAAAAAGAAGTCATCGAACAATGTTCCCAAGGATGAACTCTAAAATCGTGAACATTTAACAGACGTTAATTCTTCTGCTGTTTGTGCAAGCAACTGAAACTCCATGCTATGGTTATGGAGCTCCTTAACACATTATTACGATTATTTGTGAGATGAAATTCACAGAGATATAGTGGATTTGAAATTGTGTTGGCGTCCGGACTTATGTGTATCAGGCATGATTTGCTGGTTTAGTAAAGAAATAAACTGTATTTTCCTATATATTTAAACCTGTTTCAAAACTATGATCCGTGGGATACATATGATAAGCAAGAAGCGATTTACGTCGATTTCCTAGCTTAAAAAACCTACATTATGTGCATTACACTTTGTTGTCCTGTGCCAAAGACTCATAATTCTATGTAGATAACAACTAGTGTAACTTCTCATCATATCTTAAAACTTATCCCAACATGCATGATCCTTCATGATAACTATTCATTTAATCCCCTGCTTGCCGTAAATAGAATCGAATCGCGACTTCATTTAAACACCTTATAAAAAACATCAATTATATTCTCCAACCTCTCACAAACAAACAAAAACAGATCATTCACCAGACAAGTTACCATTTACCAGACAACAGAGAAAAATGACAATCAAAATCGAATGGCTCCATCTTATTTAGCACGGAAAATGTGGATAACCGTAACATGATCATAATTTCTAGGATTGTCTAAGCTCAAGCACAACACATCACAACATGATGCATTACCAGTTCAAACATCACAAAAGCGACTAAATTTCAAAGGTGCCAATCGTAAATAAACTTTTAACTTTAGGTAATTTTACGAAACTTCTAACCGTAGCAACGGATCGGGTCCTTGCAGCCCTTAGCAGCCGATTGCTTGGAGCCATTACGCCCGCCTTTCTCCAAGTACTGCTGGTGATATTCTTCGGCCCGGTAAAATGTCTTGGCCGGTAGGATTTCAGTCACGATTTTTACCTTGATCTCCTTTTGCTTTGCTTCTAGCGAATCTCGGGCTAATTTAGCTTGTGTCTCGTTGTAATAGTATATGCCTGACCTGTATTGTGTCCCGCTATCCCCTCCCTGCCAAAAATATTCACACAAACCGAGTTATTTGATGCAAATGCACAAAAATTTTTCTAAGGAAATAACAAACGCATATATGTTGATATGTAAAGATTCATCACTACTTCATAAGCGACAACAATATACGAAACGTGGTTTTATCGGGTGTGATCGAATTTGAGAAATCATAGTTGAAATCTTTTAGTTTTTTGTTCACATTTTCAAACACCTTCATAGCATCATATAGTAAATTTGGCAATCATACATTTTTTCAGCAGACCTGAAAGCAATGCCATACCCTTAAAAACATGATAAACAGAAGTATGACAATTCATAATAGTCACACAAGAATTTGTGTCCTAGCTAGAAATGTAGTGAGCCGAGCCGAACTCGAGTTCATTATCGAGCCAAGGCAAGCTTAACTCATTAATTCAACGAGCTCGAGCTTAGCTTGTTTATCAATATTAACGAGGTGAGCTATAAACAAATTACATAACAAAATTCTATTTTTGAGCCTTGACGAGAGTTAATTTAATAAACAAGCTTTAATCGATAATAAAATTATGGTTGGTGCATAGCAATTGAGAATAACATACTTCATCATCGTATTCATTTATGTTCGTTACAACAAACATAAACGAAATCAAAATGTTCATTTGCAGCCATAAATCCGCACCTCAAACTTCAATCCACCAATTTTTTTCCCCGAACTCTCATAAATTTATGTCATATTCAGTGCAATAATCAGAAGCATAAACGAGAAAAACAGTAATAAGAATCCATAAAATTTGGGCAAAATTACCTGGCGATTGAGGGTGGTGGGATCATGTTTTCCCCAAAACACGTCCAGCAAAGTGGTGTAGGGGCAAACTTTCGGGTCGAAATGAACCCGAACAACTTCAGCGTGATTAGTGGATCCGGTGCAGATCAGTCTGTAATTCGGGTCATGGACCTGGCCCTGCGAGTAGCCCACCTCAGTCTTCACCACGCCCTCCACTCTCTGGAAGGCCAGCTCGACGCTCCAAAAGCAGCCCGCTGCAAATTGGGCCAGCTCCAGACCCGGATCCGTCGGAGTGTCCAGATCCGGTTCGAGGGCCGGGTTGGTTGACTTTTGGTTCTCTTGGTCGTTGGAAGCCATTGGCGGAGGATGGTTTTTCTCTTTGAATTTTCCTTTTCGTTTTGGGGATGAGTTTTTGTGTTGGCTTGGCGATAATGAGAGGATTAATTTTGGACAGGTACGAAAATTGGATTTGGCCGTTAAACAAGGTGAGATGCATCACAATGACATATTATTATTAGTTGACCTTTTTTTTTTTATATAGTACTAGTATTATTTAGGTTAGGATTTATGAATTGGGGGAAATTCTATTAGAAGACCTAACTTTTAGTATATATATTAATATAAGGTCTGATATATTTTTTCAACAGAAGACCTACATTTTAGGTTATTTTTATTTTAAGATTTATTTGTTAGTTAACTTTTCATTATAAGCTCTAACTAATTTTACTTTTTCATATAAATATGTAAAACAACTATCATGTGAATAAAAGTATTATTATTATTATTATTATTATTATTATTATTATTATTATTTTATAATTTATATTTTAAATACTCAAAATAAAAAATAATAATTATCTTTAGTAAAATTATATTAATAAANNNNTTTTACTAAAGATATTTAGTATTTTTTATTATAAGTATGTAAAATATAAATTACAAAATAATAATAATAATACTTTTATTCACATAATAGTTGTTTTACATATTTATATGAAAAAGTAAAGTTAGTTGGACCTTATAATGAAAAGTTAACTAAAAAGTAAGTCTTAAAGTGAGAATAACCTAAAATGTAAGCCTTCTGTTAAAGAAGTATAAAATTCAGGCCTTAGATTAATACATATACTAAAAATTAGGCCTTCCAATAGAATTTCCTCAGCTTATTGCGATAGTTTATCCATATCCGACATTAGATATTTGTTGTTGTAGTTTTATGGTATGACCATTCAAGTATGTGACTGAGTTATCAAATCACCAATTAGTCACATTTCCTATTTCATTTTCTTATTTTATTTTTTATTTTCATTTAATTTGATAAATGACAAGTGTAAATGGTGATTTTGCAGTTATATCCATCAAACCGAGTGAACGAAAATGTAAACGAGTCGAATTATAATAAAAGTTTAAAAATATATGTAAAATTCATATTTATCAAGCCTAATGAGTTATAATGAACCGAGCTAAGTTCATCTTGTTAACTAATAAAAGATTACATTTATGAACAACCCAATCCAACCCACCCAATAATAAAAAATTATTTCTCTTTCCTCCACCTACACAACTCAACTTTTAGCAACATACATATCTTTATCCCAACTCAACCCAACCAAATATAAAATTTATTTTATTTTTATTTATTTATTTATTTATTAAATATTATATAATACAAAACATATTTTTTACTATTTTATCTACAATTCAACTCAACATAATAATTTCAATTGTGTTCCAAAATATATCAAGAGTGATTTCTATTTATATAGAATGAAAAAATATGAATTTTGATATATTTTATTTTATTTTTAATATAAAATAATATCTATAATTTGAGTATAATCTTAACATATAATACTTATAATGACCAATAGAAATGAGACAAGTGTCCCATTACTCTCTTATTTATTAAAGAGCATGAAATAAAAAAAGGAAAAAAAAAAGAGGGAGTGGGGAGACCTGGGTCGCCCAACTTTTTATTGTTTCTTTTTTTTTTTCATTTTTTTATTACTTTTTAATTGGTGACCCAATGAGAGGGTCACCAATAAAGATAGTCTAAATAAATATTAAAGTCCGTGCCATTTAGGGCATTCTCAATTGTAATAGTTATTACTAGCTATATGGTCAGCTGACGTGGACGTGAGAGATAAGAAAAATAACTATTTTACACTATTGGACTCACATACTCCTCTCACATGATCTTGAACTACGTGAAATAGATAAACTATTTGTTCATCGCTAGTGACTACTCTCTCTCCTACTTTTCCCCTGTCCACATCATAATAGTTAGCCAAATAGCCAACCATTGGGCACGCCCTAAGGGTGAAATCATCCAATTTCCAGTTCAAAATGATTAATAAAAATGTAATAAAAAATGGAGGCATAATGATCAACAACATTCTTGTTTTTAATCAAGTGTGTTTGTAATTTGTATGTATGGTGTGGTTGGTTTGTTTGTTTATAACTTTATACTAACGCACTGTAATAAAAATAGTATGAAGACTACCTTTTTTTTAGTCAAAAGCTGATCATAGTTTTATGTGCCTGGTACATAGTACACTGCTAGCTAGGGTCAAGTGAGTTATTATATTATACTACTATATAGTTAATAGTTAATACTACCTCCTATTCTTTTTAAATGTCATTTTGGCTTTATCAACTATTAACTAAATAAACATCATTTTGGGTCTTTTGTACATGGTTTTCCCATTATTACCCTTATTGAGTCAATAAATACATTACGTCTTTTCATATTCACTCTTCATTTTTTCTTAAAACATTAATCTCTATCTTCATTAAATAGGGTTATTATTGACTACAAAATTATTCTTAATTATTGTGCAACTTCTCAAAACGACATTTGTTTTGAATAGGAGGGAGTAATAATTATTTAATAGTTAATAATGATTATAGCATTCAAGTATTATCAGCACCCCAAAAAATTCACAAATTAGTGCCTCAACTAAGGGAATCTAATTGTGTTCATGATGGAAAAAAAAAAACATTAAATAATTAGAAAAAGTGCCACTTTAGAGAAGACTAATGTTAGTCTGTCTATCAAGTGCCATTCATAATTATTATTTTTTTTTATTCTTCTTCTCTACTTTTTTCCTTTTTTTCCCCTTTCTTTCTGGCTTCCTTTTTTTATTTATTTATTTTTTTATTTTACCTTTTTTTTTTAGAATAAAATGTTGTTAGGGCCTCATGGGTAGACATGACCA